GAGATGAGGTCTCGCCAAGTTGCCCAGGCAGGTCTCGAACCCACGGGCTCGGGCAATTCACTCATCTCAGCCTCCCAAAGCGCGGGATTACAGGCTGAGCCACCGAGCCCGGCCATGGTGTCTTTTATAACCATGCTCACCTCTTCTTGCCACGCCCCTTCCCTGCCTCCTGACAACCACTAATCTGTTCTCCATTTCTACTATTTTGTCCTTTCAAGAATGTCATATACACGGAATTGTGCAGTGTGCAACATTTTGGGGTAGGATTTTTTCCATTCAGCATAATTTTCTTGAGTTCTGCCCTAGTTTTTTCAAGTGTCAGTAGTTCATTTCTCTTTCTCACTGAATAGTAGTCCATGGTATGGAATCAGCACAGTCTAACCATCCTTTTTTTTTTTAAGTTGGAGTCACACACTTTCACCCAGGCTGGAGTGCAGTGGCATGCTCACAACCACTGCAGCCTCGACCTGCTGGGCTCAGGCATTCCTTCCACCTCAGCCTTCCAAGTAGCTGGAACTATAGGTGCGTACTACCACACCTGGCTAATTTTTTGATTTTTATTATAGAGACAAATCTCACCAAGTTGCTCAGGCTAGTCTCAAACCCTTGGCTCAGGCAATCGTCTCACTTCCGCCTCCCAAAGTGTTGGAATTACAGGCGTGAGCCACTGTGCCTAGCAGAGTTTAACCATTCTCTTGCTGAACGACCTCTAAGTTGTTTTCTGTTTGCGGCTATTATGAATAGAGTTGCTATAAACACTAGTGTATAAGTTTTTTGGAGGATATAAATCTTCATTTCTCTGGGATAAATGCCCAAGAATGAAATTTGGTAGCATTTTGGATTCATCAATTTCTTTAGAGACAGGGTCTTGCTCTGTCACCCAGGTTGTAGTGGAGTGGTGTGATCATAGCTCACTTGCAGCCTTGAACTCCTGGCCTCAAGTGATCCTCCTGTCTCAGCTTCTCAAAGTGCTGAGATTATGGGTGTGAGCCACCATGCCCAGCCTGGGCTCATTTATTTATTCCAACAAATGTTGGTTGGGTGCCTATTTCATGCTAGGCCCTTTCCCAAGCTCCAGTGTCCAACAGTGAACAAGAAAATAAAGTCGGCTGGGTGCAGTGGCTCAAGCCTGTAATCCCAGTACTTTGGGAGGCCAAGATGAGGGAATTGCCTGAGTCCATGGGTTCGAGAACAGCCTGGGCAACTCGGCGAGACCTCATCTTTACAATAAATCAAAAAATGGATAGCACGCGCCTGTAGTTCTGGCTACTCGGAAGGCTGAGGCAGAAGGGTTGCCTGAGCTCAGCAGGTCAATGCTAGGGTGGCTCTGAGCTTGCCACTACCCTCCAGCCTGGGTGACAAAGTGAGACTCCAACTCAAAAAAAAAGAAAAGAAAAGAAAGTCACTGCCCTCATGGAATGTGACTGCTGCCTGGAGAAGATGAGCTGTGAATGAATACATAGACAAACAAGATAATCTCTGGTCATGATCAATGTTGCGGAGAAAATCAAAACCAAGTAGAAAGTCAACAGGGCGAGGACAGCACCTTTAGACTGGGAGGCAGGGAAAACAGGTCTGAGGAAGGGCGGTGGAGCTGAAATGTGAATGAACAGGAGCTAGCCATGCAGATAGTGGTATAATGGGGTTTCTGGGTGAGAGTGGCAACCAGTGCCAAGGGCTTGAGGCAGGACTAGGCGTGGCTTACTTCAATGGAGCAGCCCATGAGGGAGGACCGCTCCACCGCCTTCCTAAGGAGCCTGAGCAGGTTCTGAGGGGGCCTCTGCAGTTGGAAGCTCTGGGCCACGCCTCCTGTGAAGTCCTCAAAGCCCTCCATCGTGCTGCCCCCGGACAGCGCTTCATAGGACCCGTTCAGCCTGTGGGCACAGAGAGGGCACTGTTTGGGTGCTGGGACTCAGGCGTGAACTTGGGCATCAAGGAGTGCCAGGAGTGGAGAGAGGGACACCCTGCCACCCCCCTGCCTCTTTCCTGGTTCAGCAGCCCTGGCAGAGGCAAGGCAAGCTCCCTTCTGGGACCCCCACACTCACTTGGCATATGCCTTCTCCAACAGGGCACTCCAGAACTCATTGCGCTCCGAAGAGTGCACAAACACAAGCTTGTCATTCTTTGTGGGCAGCCGGTCATCGACCACTACGTCCACCCACTGCCCAAACTGCCAGATCTGTGGGGAGCAAGATGGGTTTCAGTGGGCAGTGACATCTGTCTGTCCCAGGGTCCCCCCCACAACATGCACGTGCACACACACCCCCCCCACACACACACCCTTGTGTGTGGGAACTCTGTCATCGAGCGCCTCCTGGTGGCCAGGCCAGGTGACATGCCAGTTGAATGGTCCCAGAATGATTGAATAGTGAGAAAAAGGCAAGAAAAAGCCTGGAATCGGATCCGCAGCCTCCTTTCTGGGTCCTCTGGGATGACCCATGTCCTCCAGGATTACCCCACCCATTTTTTGACCATAGTGCCTCCTCTGAAAAAGCACAGCTGGGCTTCAGGACCTCTGAGATCTTCAAACTCTTAAGATTCTCAGAAATATATATATATAGTTTTTGAGTTGGAGTCTCACTCTGTCGCCCCAACTGGAGTGCAGTGGCCGCTCCCGGCCACCGCAGCCTCGACCTGCTGGGCTCCAGCGATCCTTCCGCCTCAGCCTTCCAAGTAGCTGGAATTACAGGCGCATGTCTACCACGCCCAGCTAAATTTTTGATTTATTGTAGAGATGAGGGCTCACCAAGTTGCCCAGGTGGGTCTCGAACCTGCGGGCTCAGGCAATCCACTCACCTCAGCCTTCCAAGGCGCGGGATTACAGGCTGAACAACCGAACCTGGCTTCTCAGAAATATTTTATATTTTCTCCTAGTTTGTGGCTTAACTTTTCATTCTCTTAATATCTTTCACAGCACAGCTTTTTTTTTTTTTTTTTTGAGTTGGAGTCTCACTCTGTCGCCCAGACTGGAGTGCAGTGGCCGCTCCTGGCCACCGCAGCCTCGACCTGCTGGGCTCCGGTGATCCTTCCGCCTCAGCTTTCCAAGTAGCCGGAATTACAGGCATGCGCTACCACACCTGGCTGATTTTTTGATTTATTGTAGAGATGAGGTCTTGCTGCCCAGGCGGGTCTCAAACCTGTGGGCTCAGGCAATCCACTCACCTCAGCCTCCCAAAGGCGCGGGATTACAGGCTGAGCCACGGAGCCCGGCTACAGCACAGCTTTTAATTCGAATGAAGTTCGGTTTATCAATTCTTTCTTCTGTGATTGAGCTTTTGGTGTCATATCTGAAAAGTCTTGACTGAAACCAGATTCACAAATATGTTCTCTGTTGTTTTCCTCTAGTTTTATAATTTCGGTTTTTACATTTAGGTTTATGATCTTTTTTTTTTTTTTTTTGAGTTTGAGTCTCACTCTGTTGCTCAGGCTGGAGTGGAGTGGCATTCTCCTGGCCACCGCAGCCTCGACCTGCTGGGCTCCGGCAATCTTTCTGCCTCAGCCTTCCAAACAGCCGAAACTATAGGCGCACACTACCACGTCCAGCTAATATTTTGATTTATTGTAGAGATGAGGTCTCACCATGTTGCCCAGGCTGGTCTTGAACCCGCGGGCTCAGGCAATCCTATTGCCTCGACCTCCCAAAATGCTGGGATTATAGGCTTGAGCCACTGCGCTCGCCTTTGTTTTTCTTTTGAGTTAGAGTCTCACTCTGTCACCCAGGTTGGAGTGCAGTGGCATGCTCCTGGCCACCGCAGCCTCGGCCTGCTGGGCTCCGGCGATCCTTCCTCCTCAGCCTTCCAAGTAGCTAGAACTACAGGCGTGCACTACCATGCCCAGCTAATTTTTTTATTTATTGTAGAGACAAGGTCTCACCAAGTTGCCCGGGCTGGTCTCGAACCCTTGGGCTTAGGCAATCCACTCACCTTGGCCTCCCAAAGTGCTGGGATTACAGGCTGAGCCACCAAGCCCAGCCAAATGTTATCTTTCAAAGAGAAAAAAAGATGAACTTCAAAGCACATACGAATTCTCTCCCTCTCTCTCTCTCTCTCTCTCTCTCTGACACACACACACACATACCCCTCATGAAGCAACTCTGGCTCTCAAACTGCCTTTCACCTGAAAATGGAAGATGCCAGCATAGTTTCTCTTGAAGCCCTGTCCCCTGGGCACCACGCGGTACAGCAGTTTGGAGCATGTGGTGAGGGAGCCGATGGCTGCCAGCAGCCAGCAGTCTCCTGGAAAGACAGGCAGGAGTTTGCCCCCCAGAGCACTCCCATATGTTTGGTTGGGCCCCAGAATTCGAGCCTTAGAGGAGCAGGAGCCTGGCCCTGTACTCCCTGCCAGCAGAGACGCACCCTCCTTCAGCTGTGCCACCACAGAGTAGAGGCAAACAGGGGGAAGCAGAAGGCAGAGCAGCAGGCTCTGGGGAGGTGAGTTTCTGTACCTTTTCTATTATGAGAAAGCCACGTGCTTTTGTTTTTTGGAGTTTGAGGAAGAGATATTTTTGGCCTTAGGCTCTTGCTCCCCACTCTGGAAACTTCCTTCTTGGGGAGCGAGCCAATCCTCTCCCATCCCTCAGACAAATCCAGCCATCCCATCCCGTGAATAATCTGGTGTAGCCATGAAGACCCCAAGACGTCTCTCCTTCAAGTCACCCACATTACGCTGGAGACCCAGGGCCCAGCATGGATCCCAGTGGGATCCCTTAACTAGGCGTTGATGGAGGTGTGGGCATGGGGCAGTGTCCCCAGGCTGAAGTTTAATTAAGTGGCGCCTATCGGAGAGGAGCACCCCAGTCATCCATTGCCATCTATCTCCTGGGCGTCTCAGCCCCCTCTGGGTGGGGCCGGGGAGCAGGGAGGAAGCCACTCTGGGCCCGGCTGAGGTTGAAGGCACTGGGGAAGCTTCTATGATTATCAGTGGGCTTCTTGGCTGCCTGATGGAAGCAGAGGGCGAGAAAGGAAAGTCAAGGTTGTCCCACCCATCCCCATAAGGGCACCTGGGAAGAAACTAATTCCCTTCTCCTCCAGCCCAGTGTCCCTCCAGCTCAGTGAGCCACAGTGGAGGCCCTGGGACCTGAGGTCTCCTCGGCTTCTGCCCTGCCCTGTCCTTGGCCACAGGTGGGACCAAATTTGGTCCAAGAGGAAGCCCATCCTGGCTTAGTCCTTAAAAAGGCAATGAGGGGTTTGGAGGAAAGGGGTTTGTAAGAAGCCGGTTGTCTGAACCTGGGGAGGGGTCCCTATCTTCTGGTTTCAAAGGACACCCTGGCACCCCTCTCCCAGCCTGATTTCCTGAGTCACTGTTCTTACTCCCACTCACCGAGCAGCCCCTGGCGGACATCTGTCGGAGAGATCCCATTCGCGATGAACAGAGGGTTGCTTGTGATATCCTGCAGCAGAAGAAAAAGGGCTCCAGGGGGTTCAGAACACTCCCTCCCCACACCCTCCCATCTTTCCTGGGTAGTAAGCCCACCTTGATGTTCTAGGGGAAGAGATAAGGCGGGGAGGATGCGGCCCAGCTTGGCATGGCAAAGGTTGGTGGGTGACTTCGCTAGGGTCACCTGGGGGTTTGGCTCAAGCGTATTTAGAACTGTCCCCAGCTCTGATGGAAGCCAGCCTCGAGCCAGAATGAGAACAGGGTGATGGGGATTGGAGATTATAAAAGTGACTGTGGAGGGAGTCACTCCAAGCCCCATTTGCCCTTGAGCCCAGACCTCCCCTCCCAGTGCCCACCTTGGGACGCTGCCAACAGACGTTCTGCACGTTTTGGGAGTTGGGGCCCAGTTCCTTGAAGCCCAGAGAACTGGGTGCAGCAGGGAATAAAGGGTCGTCAAACAGCTGCCCCTTCCTCAGACAGGCTGCTCGCAGCTCCTCGAAGCTCTGGTTTCTGTAGTTGTGGGCATTGTTGTGCTGACCCACGCCCTTGGCCTTGAGTCGGCAGCTGTTTATGTGAGCCACCATTCCCTTGTCAGGAAGGGTGGGATCCGCTTGATGGTCAAAAGACAAAGAACCCAATTAAAAAGTGGAATAGATATTTATCAGAAGAAGATATAAAGATGACCGATAATCACATGAAAAATGCCCAACACCATTAGTCATCGAGGAAATGTGTATCGAGGCCACAAGGACCTGTCCCTTTCCACCTACTAGGATGGCTGTAATGAAAAAGACAGATAATAAGTGTTGGTGAGGCTGAAGATAAATTGGAACCTTCATGCACTGCTGGTGGGAATGAAAATGGTACAGCTACTTTGGAAAACCACCTGGCAGTTCCTTTAACAGTTCAGCATAGAGGCACCACGTGACCCAGCAGTTCCACTTCTAGGGATATACTCAAGAGAAATGAAAACATAGGTTCGGCTGGGTACGGTGGGTCACGGCTATAATCCCAGCACTTTGGGAGGCCGAGGTGAGAGGATTACCTGAGCCCACGTGTTCAAGACTAGCCTGGGCAACTTGGCGAGACCTCATCTCTCCAAAAAATAAAAAATTAGCCAGGCATGGTAGCATGTGCCTGTAGTTCCAGCTCCTTGGAAGGCTGAGGTGGAAGGATCATCTGAGCCCAGCAGGTTGAGGTTGTGGTGGCCGTGAGCATGCCACTGCACTCCAGCTGGGCAACAGAGTGAGACTCCAACTCAAAAAAAAAAAAAAAAAATGTTTTCACACCAAAATTTGTACACAGTGTTCATGACAGCACTATTTACAATAGCCCAAAAGTAGAAAACAGCTCAAATGACCATCTGCTGACAAACGGACTAACGAAACGTGTGCTCTGCGTACCATGGAGTGATATCCGACAATAAGAAATGAAGTAGTGACATATGCTGACAGGAAGGACCTTAGAAACACGAGAAGCAAAGAGGTCAGTCACAAAGTACCTTAAACTGTGTGATTCCATTCACATACAAAGTCTAAAATAGGCACATCTGGCTGGGCTTGGTGGCTCAGCCTGTAATCCCAGCACTTTGGGAGGCCGAGGCGAGTGGATTGCCTGAGCCCACAGGTTTGGGACCCCCCTGGGCAACTTGGCGAAACCTCGTCTCTACCATAAATAAATAAATAAAACTAGCCGGGCGTGGTAGTGCACGCCTGCAGTTCCCGGCTACTTGCAAGGCTGAGGCGGAAGGATCACTGGAACCCAGCAGGACAAGGCTGCAGTGGCTGGGAGCGTGCCACTGCACTCCAGTCTAGGCGACAGAGTGAGACTCTGACTCAAAAAATAAATAAATAAATAAATAAAATAAAATAGGCACATCTATAGAAAGACAGAAAGTAGATTAGTGGTTGCTCGGGTTCAGGGGGATGGAAGTTGGAAGTTCATGGCTAAAGGATATGAGGGTTTTTTTTGGAAGGCAATGAAAATGATCTATAATTGACTACAGCGTCGGATGCTTAACTGTAAATATACTAAAAGTAATTGAATTGTGCACTTTAAAAACTATTCTTTTCCCACTGCACTCCAGCCTGGGCGACAGAGTGAGACTCCAACCCCCCAAAAAAAAAAAAATTATTCTTTTCCTTTCTTTCTCTCTCTTTCTTTCTTTTTAGAAATAGGGCTTAAGTATGTTGCCCCGTCTGGTCTAAAACTCCTGGGCTCAAGTGATCCTCCTGTCTTGGTCTCCCAAAGTGCTGGGATTACAGGCACAAACCATTGTGCCTAACTTGAATTGACTATTTTATTTATTTATTTATTTATTTTTGAGTTGGAGTCTCACTCTGTCGCCCAGACTGGAGTGCAGTGGCCGCTCCTGGCCACCACAGCCTCCACCTGCTGGGCTCTGGCGATCCTTCCGCCTCAGCCTTCCAAGTAGCTGGAACTACAGGCGTGCGCTGCCATGCCCGGCTGATTTTTTTATTTATTGTAGAGATGAGGTCTCACCAACTTGCCCAGGCGGGTCTCGAACCCACGGGCTCAGGCAATCATTCACCTCAGCCTCCCAAAGGCGCGGGATTACAGGCTGAGCCACCGACTGAATTGACTATTTTATTTTTTTATTTTATTTTATTTTATTTTTGAGTTGGAGTCTCACTCTGTCGCCCAGACTGGAGTGCAGTGGCCGCTCCTGGCCACCGCAGCCTCGACCTGTTGGGCTCTGGCGATCCTTCCATCTCAGCCTTCCGAGTAGCCGGAATTACAGGCATGTGCTACCACGCCCGGCTGATTTTTTGATTTATTGTAGAGATGAGGTCTCGCTGCCCAGGCGGGTCTCGAACCCACGGGCTCAGGCAATCCACTCACCTCAGCCTCCCAAGGGGGCGGGATTACAGACTGAGTCACCGAGCTTGAATTGACTATTTTAAATGAGTGAATTGTATAGCTCATGAACTATATCTCAGTAAAGCTGTTTAAAAAAATGGTTTCCTGGTCAGGTGTGGTGGCTCACACCTGTAATCCCAGCACTTTAGGAGGCGGAGGCAGGAGAATTGCTTGAACCCAGTAGTTCAAGACAAACCTGGGCAACATAGTGAGACTCCCATCTCTATTAAATTATATATATTATATATATATAAAATATATACATATATATATAAAATGGTCTCCATACCACCCAAGACACTGATTTCTAGGGAAAGTTAGGGAATGGCCTAGCAGAGTGAGTCTAGAGTCTAGGGTAAAAGTCAGGCTGGCTAATCGGTCGTGAGCCAGTTGAGGACCCAGGATGCTCTGCCCTCAACTCTGCCCCAGAGGGACTGCAACCTCCCTCATCCCTTCCTAAGGATTGCCCCCACCCATATAGACACTACTGACATCCCCATCACCAGCAGCAGACCCTGAGGAAGAGAAGGGGAAAGAGGAGAGAGCGGAGGAGAAGAAAGGGGGAGGTGAGGCCTAAAGCCACGATCACCTCTGAGTCTCCATCCTAGGGCTCATGCACCCCCAGGCCTATCTTCCCTCAGTCTCCTCTCATTCCCTGTTGACTCTGGAAGTCTCAGCTCTAGATTAAGGAAGAGACTGGAGGAGGGGAGGAAGGAGGTGGTCTCAGTTAAGCAGAGCTCAGCTGGGGCCGGGGTGTGGGAGGAATCCTGAGTGAGGAAAAGAAAGAGGTTGCTACAGAGGGATTGTTTAGAGGCGAGACCGATGGAGCCACTTAGGCAGGAGAGGGGGGCTCTCAGTTGGTCTTCCTCCCTTGAATGGGCAACGAGATCTGTTATAACAACTGAGCGGACAGGACTGGGTGCCTTTTTTTTTTTTTGAGTTGGAGTCTCACTCTGTCACCCAGGCTGGAGTGCAGTGGCACGCTCCCGGCCATCGCAGCCTCAACCTGCTGGGCTCAGCGATCCTTTCACCTCAGCCTTCCAAGCAGCCGGAGCTACAAGCGCCTGCTACCACACCCGGCTAAGTTTTGATTTATTGTAGAGATGAGGTCTCACAAAGTTGCCTGGGTGGATCTCGAACCCTCGGGCTCAGGCAATTCACTCACCTCAGCCTCCCAAAGTGCTGGGATTACAGGCCGAGCCTCCGAGCCCAGCCAGGACTGGGCGCCTTTGCTGCCAAGGAAACAGCGTGAGGGTGGGATGTGAAGTCTAACTGCAGTCCCAGGCTAGGTGTGTAACCCCACCTCGCATGGACCCCTGAGGGGAAGCGTTTCTCCTTGGCCGAAGGGTAGTGGAGCCCATGCCATCTTTACTAACTAAGGGCATCCACAGATGATTTGTGACTGAAACTTTCTCTCTCCCTCTTTTTTAAATTTATTTTTTAATAGAGATGAGGTCTCACTATGTTGCCCAGGCTGGTCTTGAACTCCTGGCCTCAAGTGATTCTCTTGTCTCAGCCTTCCAAAGTGCTGGGATTACGGACGTGAGCCAGTACACCCTGCCTGAATTTATCTCTCGATATCCCTTACGCTTGCCACTCCCCAAACAAGCAGACCCATGCTTCTGTTCCTCACGAGTGTCCCCTTGGGACTTTCCCGGGTCCAGTAATGAGCCCCTGCTCTGCCAGTCCCACAAATTCCCAACACACCCACATTCCACATCAAAACAGTTGCCAAGTCCTTCCCAGGAAAGTTCCCTCACAGGACCTGTTGCCACCATCAGTCTTAGACCAGGACCTCTAGAAAGCCTGGACCCCAAAGGATCTCTCTGGTTCATCATGTATGCCACCCCTGCCACATGCCACACCAGCCTCCTTTGAGGGAGGTTTTGAATCCTTTATTTCTTCTGACACCTTCCAGGACATCGTTTTGCCAGCAGGGTAAAGCCAGTTGCCAAAGCCTCCTCCAGTCCTGGGCCTACTACCACCGGCACAAACCCATCCCCTGGACCCCGCCCGAGAGTTCCAGTCTGAGGGAGACATGCCCATCCAACCAGCTCTCCCGAGCATTGCAGCCCAGGAGAGACAGTGCCCCGCCCCCACCCCCAGCAGTCTCCTCAATCCCCTCTCCCACGCCAGAGACTAGGGGATCTCCCTAGACCCCACCCCTCATCCACTATATCCCTCACGTGGTCACTCATGCTGCCTTGGCATCTCCTGCCCTCCTCCTCCATACTGCCCAGGATGAGATTGCCCCCTGCAGAACCACGTTGAGTGCAGAGTGTGTGGATGTGGAAGCCATGTGTCTCCTGACCAGTGAGGTTTCCTCCACGTACCACTTCATCTCCCCCTGCCTTGGCCTCTCCATCTGTGGAATGGGGTGATATTGTAAGGCGCTTGCAATGGCTTCTGGCACAAAACTTATTCAAAAAGTTTTCCTTAAGGAGCAAATATCAGGCCAGAAGATAATTTCCTTTCTTCTAACCTCATCCCTCCCCACCAGTTCTTCACAGTGTTAGCTGAGATTTTTTTTTTTTCTTCTTTTTTTTTTTTCAATTAGTGTCACTCTGTCACCCAGGCTGGAGTGCAGTGGCACACTCATGGACACCGCAGCCTCTAACTGCTGGGCTGAGGTAATCCTTCTGCCTCAACCTCCTAAGCAGCTGGGACTACAAGTGTGCAACACACCCAGCTAATTTTTTTTTTTTTTTTTTTTTT